GGTAAGAAGACGTGGGACCTTTGGGGAAGTGATTGTTATGAGGGTTCTGAAGGAAAACGAGGAATGAGGGCCAGAAATGAAAGACGAGATGCACACAAGACTTTGTCAGAGCTGAAAATAAAGGCCATCTCTCTACAGCAGAGAGAGGGAAAACAGGCTTGGGTTCCAGGACTTTTACAGGTAGACTCAGGAGGCAGAGCCAGGCGGGTCCTAGGTTAGGGGCTGGGTTGGTATGAGGAAGCAATGAGTCTTTCTCAGAAATGCCCTTTGGGTGGGAAAGCAAAACTTGTTCCTTAAAATGACAGCTGTCACTTAAGATGGCTTTCCAGATGCTAAGCAAGGACCTTATAGGCTCCACCCTCTTTTCTTAAACATTTATTTTTTAGTTGTAGTTGGACACAATACCTTTATTTTATTCATTTTTATGTGGTGCTGAGGATCGAACCGAGGGCCTGGCATGTGCCAGGCGAGTACTCTACCACTGAGCCATAAACCCAGCCCCTCTTTTTTTTGGTACCAGGGATTGAGCCCAGGGGTGTTGAACCACTTAGCCACATTCCCATTCTGGTTTGTTTTTTTTTGTTTTTTTTTTTTTTGTTTTTTGTTTTTTTTTGAGTTACTGTCTTGCAAATTCGCTAGGGTGTCTAAATTGTTGCAGCTGGTTTGAACTCCCAGAGTTAAAAGATTGAACTCGAATTTTCAATCCAGTTGAAATGCCTGCCTCAGCCTCCAGAGCTTCTGGGATTACAGATCTGTGCCACTACACCCAGCTACACCCTCTTGAATGGATTGGTGTTTATAAAATATCTTGGCACAACTCCAAAACTACAAGCTGTATTCCTTTCTCAACCAGTGCTTTTTCTATTATATAAAAATAGTATAGCAAGAAGCTGAAACTGTTTAGAAATAATGGCTATAAAACATTTTAAAGGTAATCATAAATATATTGGCATGAACATTTACCAATGCATAAAGAGTTTTTAAAAGGATTATCTATACAGAATGTGTTTGTGTAAATTTGCATGAAATGTGTTCATCCTTTCAACATGGAAGGAAAAAGGTCTGAAAGGTTTTACTTCAGGCTCAATCCCTTTGGGCTGTGGGATTATAGTTGATGGTACCACATAAAACATATATGCATCCAGAGAAAAATAATTTTCTAAAATGTCTACATTTGCATGATTTTATAATAAAAGTTTAAAGTTTTAGAAAGTAAAAAAATATCTTAGTAATTAGTTTAGGTCCTATTTGCTCTTCTGCACATAAAGACACAGCATTCTATCCCTTTAGGAGGATGCAGCAACAAGGCACCACCTTGAAAAGAAATATCAGCTCTCAGCAGACATGAATCCTACCAGCCCCTTGATCTTGGACTTCCCCTCCTCCAGAACTGTAAGAAATAAATGTTTATTTTTTATGAATGAACAGTCTTTTATTCTTTTATAGCAGCACAGAGTAAGATAGGTAGGCCAGGTGTTCAGGTACCCTGGGTTCCCAAAGGATGAGTGTGGGAGAAGAGGAGAGGGGCGAATTCTATAGAAAAGAAGTAGGAGCACAAAAACTCGTTATCCAGCATCTAGGAAAGGCCATCTGTAGTTGTGCTTTGGATCAGGGTCTGCCATCTTTATCCATATCTCTGGATAACTCAAAATGAAGAAAAGCAAGCTCTTGGTGGCTGTAGGCAGCTACCCATCTATGAATTATAAAGAAATGATAAAGAGAATTCCTTCAAGCCTGACTACCCTAACCCCCTCTGCTTTCCAGTAGGCAGTGATCTCCAAAGGCCCTAACAAATGAGAAGGAAGGACTAATGCTCTATTTGCCTGTTTTTATAGGTTACTGGGTTTTTTCAGCTCAATTATCACACAGTTCCTTCTTTAGGCTCCCCATATACTAGGCCCTGCAGTAGCTCCTCTCTGGTTTTTGTTTGTCTTTATGATGCTGGAATTGGAACCCAAGACCTTGTGCATGCATGGTCAGTGCTTTTACCACTGAGCTATACGCTCAGCCCCACCACTTCCTTTGAACTCTTCTCAGTGACTTCTAGAGTCCCACCTCTCACCCCAGGCCTCCAATGACCCAAGAAATTCTTCAGCCTGGGCTGTGCTTACTCCTTTATAAAAGGTCATCCCCATTCCCAGCCTGAAAATAAGGAGGTGAGATGGTGGTTAGAGTAGCTAAATGGACAGAATGAAAAAGAATCAAAATAATACTTACTAGTACATCCCACTTATTATCTGGCAGACCCTGTCCAAAGCACTTTACATATATTAATTCTCTTGGCTGTTTCTCATTATCCTGTGAATTGAGGGCTCCCATTTCCCCAGCATCTCTCAAGGGAATGAGGCTTAAAAAGGCCTCTCTAATTATTGTTAATTTTTAAGTGTGATAATGGTATTGTGGGTTTTTTTTTTTTAGTCCTCATCTGTTAGAGGTACATATTGGAGTATTTTCAGACAAAATTATATGACATCTGGGGCTTAAATTAAAATACTCCAGTAGGGAAAAAAAAGAGGGGGTATAGATGAATAAAGATTGGCAAAATGTTGATAACTGTTGAAGGTTGTTACAGAGCTTCATTATCCTCTTCTCTGTGCTTCTAGGTATTGGAAAATTTCCATAATGAAATTTTAAAAAAAAAACACTTTTTGACCCAACCTGCAAATTACACTGAGTCACCCATCCTCTCAGACCGGAAATAAGATAATGAGGCTTAGTGAGAGAGTTTAGAATGCGTAAGTGGAGAGAAGGATGAGACAGAATAAGGACAATAGCTATTGCCTACGTAGTACTTAGGTGCTAAACTTTGTTCTACATACTTTATAACCAAATAACCAAATGAAGTCTTCCTCTGCAAGTATACTGCAAGTATATCAAGAATGGGTTTGGTCTGCCCACCGTGGTGCACGTCTGTAATCCTAGCAGTTCAGGAGGCTGAGGCAGGAGAATCAAAAATTCAAAGCCAACCTCGGCAACTTAGCAAGGCCCTAAGTAACTTAGTGAAACCCAGTCTCAAATTAAAAAAAAAAAAAATTAAAGAGCTGGGGGTGTGGCTCAGTCGTTAAGCACACTGGGATCACTCCCTGGTACCAAAAGAGAGAGAGAGAGAGAGAGAGAGAGAGAGAGAGAGAGAGAGAGAGAGAGAGAAGTTTTGGGCCAGGGATTTAATTTGTGTTTCTAGACACCTAATTAGTTCTCCCCCCATTTCTAGCTAGCATTATTTTAAAGTAGGAGATCTGGAGGGGGAATGAAGTGGACTGGGACTGAGGTGATTTTTAATGTGGTACTAGGGATTGAACCCAGGAGCACTCTTATCACTGAGCTGCATTCCCAGGTTTGTTTGTTTGTTTGATACTCGGGATCATACCCACGGGCACTTTACCACTGAGCTCCATCTCCAGCCTATTTTGTTTTTAATTTTGAGACAGGGTCTCCCTAAATTGCTGAAGCTGGCCTCAAACTTGCAATCCTCCTTCCTCAGCTTCCCAAGTAGCTGGGATTAGAGACGTATATCACCACACCTGGTTTGGGACTGAGGCTTTAATTGTGTCTTGGAGTGACAGGGTTCTGTCCCAGGAAAGGAGGAGGGGAAAAGAAAGGGCTGGGATGAAGAATACCCCAACTGAGAGTCATCTCTGGCTTTGCCAGCAGAGGGAGCTATAAACTGAATTTCTTAAGAGTGGCAACTGGCCTGGCCCCTGGGCTGGCTAAATTATTTTATTGGAAGCTCAAATCAGCCCAGGATGCTGTGGGAATGATGAAAGAAGGAATAAAGGAGGGAGCTAAGAGATTATCTGCAGAGTCTTTGCCTTAAATTTTATTTTTTTAATTTTTTTTTAATATTTATTTTTTAGTTGGCGGACACAACATCTTTGTTAGTATGTGGTGCTGAGGATCGAACCCGGGCCACACGCATGCCAGGCGAGCATGCTACCGCTTGAGCCACATCCCCAGCCCCTGCCTTAAATTTTAAAATCTTTGATAAGTACATTCTAAATCTGCCTTCCATGGGGCTCGCCTGGCATGCGTGAGGCCTGGGTTCGATCCTCAGCACCACATACAAACAAAGATGTCGTATCCACCGAAAACTAAAAAATAAATATTTAAAAAATTCTCTCTCTCTCTCTCTCTCTCTTAAAAAAAATAAATAAAATAAATAAATCTGTCTTCCATGATTTGGATGAAACAAGCACTAAAAAGTAAGGAATCCTTTGACAGGTTAGTACCACTGAACAAAGCATGGCATCCTCCACTCCCTTGGGCAACCTCACCCACTTCTCACCCACTCTTTTTTTTGTGGTGCTGAGGATTGAACCCAGGGCCTTGTGCATGCGAGGCAAGCATTCTACTAACTGAGCTATATCCCTAGCCCACTCCTCACCCACTCTTAAGATCTTGCCGTTTGTCTATAACCTCATCCTCTCTCCTAAATTTTGGACCTAGATGATCGTAGGACATGTCACCCTGGAACCTCAAGCCCAACATGGCACTGAACTCATCTCCCACCCTCCCCTAGATGTACTCCCTCCATCTTCCCTATCTCCATTAACAGTACTTACCAATACCTCAGTTGTCCAACTGGGAGGCAGGGCTGGGGGTATGGCTCAGTGGAACACAGAATCATCTTTGAGGTCTCTCTCTCTTTGCCTCTCACATCTAATCCTTCAGTAAGCTCATTCTGGTCTAAACCACTATCATCTCTTGCCTGAACCACTTCAATAGCATCCTGAATTGTGCTCCTGTTTCTATATATGTCTGTACCTCACCAAACACTGTCTTTATCTCCACCCAGAAACGAGAGTGATTTTTTTCAAAAAACCAAACTATCTAAACCACTCAAAGCTGATTCATTGCCTTTACGATCAAGTCCTGCCTCCTCACCATAGCTTATAAGGCCTTCCTGATCTGGCCTCTGACTACCTCTGCCTCCTCATGTCTCACGTCTTCACAACACTTACACACACTCTCTTTCTTCTCAAACGGAACCATTTCCAGCTAAATAGGCTCTTGCCTCTAGACCTTTTCACATGCTGCTTCCTCTACTTAGACTCTCTTTCCTTCCTTTTCTCCTCACCATCTCCTATTCAGTCCTCTTGTCTCAGCTCAGGAATCCCTTCTTCCAGAAACCTTCCATTGATCCTTCCCAACAGTCATCTTCTGTAACCCCATAGCCTGTCTCTGTCATTGGATTTATTCCATGGAATGTTATGGTTTAGATGTGGTGTCTCCCCAATCCTATGTGAAGACAATGCAAGAAAGTTCAGAAGAGAAACAATTGGGTTGTTAGAGTCTTAACCCAATCAGTGAATTAATCCCCTGATAGGGATTAACTGAGTGGTAACTGAAGTGGTAGGGTGTGGCTGGAGGAGGTGGGAATTGGAGACTGGCTTGGGGTATATATTTTCTATCTGGCCAATGGAGTCTCTCTCTGCTTTCTGATCACTAAGTGAGCTGCTTTCCTCTACCACACCCTTCTGCCAAGATGTTCTGCCTTACCCTAGAGCCCCAAGGAATGGAGCCTGCCTTCTGTGGACTAAGACCTCTGAAACTGTGAGCCCTCAAATAAACTCTTCCTCCTTTAAAATTGTTCTGGTCAGATCTTTTAGTCACAGCAGCACAAAAGCAGGCTAAATCATGGAATGTAGCTGCCTGGTAGCCTGTCTGGATCCACCATGATGATGTGGGCTCTGTGAAGGACATATCTGTCTTTTTCATACTTATAGCCTCACAGCTTTAGCACAGAACCTATACATTGTAGCTAATTACTAAATATTTCTTGGATGGATGGATAGACAATTGTGTGGATGATTTATCAATTTACTAATCCAAAAGGGGAGCAATGAGCACCATGTTAGAGCGAGAATAAGACCTTGGGCAGGATTAATGCATCCAAAAGTGTAGTAGGGACCAGAAAGGGGGAGGGACAAGCATGCCCATCCCAACTACTCTTCTTGGCAATATTACCTGTCTCCCTTTTATACCTGCCTTAAGGTGAACCTGGAAGTAGCACAGAAGAATCTGATGCACACCCAGGAACTAGACACCTCTCTTATATTCCCTTCCTAAATCTTGTTCTGGGATAAAGCCACCCATGCGTGGCTATGAAATGGACAGACTCCTGTCAGTGCCTAGTGTGAACTCTCCAGAAGCCCTATAATCCTTTCTTCCCCAGGTCAAAGACATTTCTGGGGCTGAGGATGTAGCTCAGTGGTAAAGCACTTGCCTAGTATGCATGAGGCCCTGAGTTCAATCCCCAGCACTACAAAAAAAAATGAATAAATAAATAGCTTGGTACAGTGGCACATGCCTATAATCCCAACAGCTCAGGAGGCTAAGGCAGGAGGATCATGAGTTCAAAGCTAGCCTCAGCAAAAGTGAGGTGCTGAGCACTC